TTCACAGTCAGCAATTTCGGATACTTATCCCACCTTGTGCAATTACGGGGGAATTTGTTTCCCCCTCGTGATTTCACACCCCTCCAGCTAATGACCCTGTTCGGCAGCACAAATGCACGTTTTAGGGTAGCGAGGTTCGGTGTTAAATGGGAGGTATGGTACCGAACGTTGGGGCGTGTTAGTCCAAATGCAACTTGCTGGTCTGACACAATGGTGACACCTCAGCAGAATCCAAGGGGCTGCCGCAGTGTGCGCGCATAAGACACCGAATTTTGACCAGGTTGGTGGACCTCAACGGCCAACATGAGCGAGATAGAATTCCCTGAGCAGCCATCTTATGGCATTTCTTCACTCTGATTGGTCCATGTCTGACTTCAATGAAGCGGAAGATGGCTGCTTACTTGGGAGATGATCATATTGGGGCCGAACAGTGCCAGAGGGGTGATCAAAGTAGGGCCGGAAAATCTCGACCGTAGGATTTCTGCCCGCACGGCTGGGCGAACAAGCCGAGCCGTGAGTTAAAGAGAATTGCTTAAGAAACCGAATAGGGTGTAAAACTTCTTCAATAATGGTTTTGACCGCCGTCAACTACAGCGCGCGCGTCGCCTGTCAGAGGTCCATTGGTGATCCCCGATCGATCCTAGGGAAGGGTTACAGGCACATTTGCCTGGGGGGTTATGGGCGCACTGACCCGCTACTGAAACAAGCCCTTTTATCCCAATGGTCTAGTGGTTGGGATTCTGACATGTTATCAGAGCCCGTTCTACCTTGGCCTGTGGGCCCCTATGCTTCCGCTGCAGTCCTTCTTCCTGCCGCGCGCGGAGCGCGCGGCCAAAATTTTTTTTAGGATTTCGGAGTTTTTCATCCCGCCGTGCGCTCAGGGCGCGCGGCGGTTTTCCCGTCCTTCGAAGCGCCCTCGGGGGGCCTGCGCGCTGCCCTCCCCGCTGCTCGTCGCGACGCCCGTGCGGGACCCGCGCGGCGTCACCCTGCTCGTCGCGACGTCCGTGCGGGACCCGCGGGGCGTCGCCCCTGCTCGTCGCGACGTCCGTGCGGGACCCGCGCGGCGCCGCCCTACTTGTCGCGACGTCCGTGCGGGACCCGCGGGGCGTCGCCCCTGCTCGTCGCGGCGTCCGTGCAGGATCCGCGGGGCGCCGTCAGAGCCAGCAGCAACCGCCGCCAGAGCCTACAGCAGCGGCCGCCACCACTCAGCAGCAGCAGCCGCCAGACCTGCAGCAGCTGCCGCCACCGGCCCAGCAGCAGCAGCCGCCGCTCTATCAGCAGCAGCAGCCGCCGCCGCTCTGCCGCAGCAGCTACCGCCGCCCAGCTGCAGGAGCCGCCCCTGGACCCGGTACGCCTTGTGCTGCCCGTGCCTGTGCTGCCCGTGCCTGTGCTGCCCGTGCATGTTGCTGCCCGTGCCTGTGCTGCCCGTGCCTGTGCTGCCCGTGCCTGTGCTGCCCGTGCCTGTGCTGCCCGTGCCTGTGCTGCCCGTGCCTGTGCTGCCCGTGCCTGTGCTGCCCGTGCCTGTTGCTGCCCGTGCCTGTTGCTGCCCGTGCCTGTTGCTGCCCGTGCCTGTTGCTGCCCGTGCCTGTTGCTGCCCGTGCCTGTGCTGCCCGTGCCTGTGCTGCCCGTGCCTGTGCTGCCCGTGCCTGTTGCTGCCCATGCCTGTGCTGCCCGTGCCTGTGCTGCCCGTGCCTGTGCTGCCCGTGCCTGTTGCTGCCCGTGCCTGTGCTGCCCGTGCCTGTGCTGCCCGTGCCTGTGCTGCCCGTGCCTGTACTGCCTGTGCCTGTTGCTGCCCGTGCATGTGCTGCCCGTGCCTGTGCTGCCCGTGCCTGTGCTGCCCGTGCCTGTTGCTGCCCGTGCCTGTGCTGCCCGTGCCTGTGCTGCCCGTGCCTGTGCTGCCCGTGCCTGTTGCTGCCCGTGCCTGTGCTGCCCGTGCCTGTGCTGCCCGTGCCTGTGCTGCCCGTGCCTGTGCTGCCTGTGCCTGTTGCTGCCCGTGCGTGTGCTGCCCGTGCGTGTGCTGCCCGTGCCTGTGCTGCCCGTGCCTGTTGCTGCCCGTGTCTCGTGCTCGCGCCCCCGTGCGCTCTGCTACTGTCTGCGCCCTCGTGCGCACTGTCCCCCCCCCCCCCCCCCCCCCCCCCCGTTTGCGGGTGTGGGGGTGCTCCGTTTGTGTCGCCCCTTCCTTCTCCTCCTCCGTCGTCTCCCACTGCTGCAGCTGTCGCTGAGGGGGGTGGTTGTGTGGGAGACTGAGGTTTAGGGTTTACGGGGGGTGCGTGGGAGTGGAGCTAGGGGTGTAGCAGCGGGTGTGTGTCAGGGGGGTGGGACTGTTTGTGGGAGGTTGAGCGGAGGCTGCCGTCTTGTAGTCCGCAGCACCTGTAGTCCGGGGCGCTTTCCTGGTAGCCCAGTGAGCCTGCTGCGCCTGTCGCCCGTGGGTCCGTTGCTCCTGCCGCTCTTCGTAGCCGCCGAGCCAGTTACTCCAGTAGTCCGGGGCGCTGTCCCGGTAGCCACTGTGCCAGCCGCTCCTGTTGCCCGTGTGTCTGCAGCTTCAGCAGTCGCCTCCCATCTCCTCTCCTCTCACTCTCCCTCCTCCTCCTCACCTGCCCGTTGTGACCACCACTAGCTTTGCTGATAATTGTGCACTTTAACTATTGCTTCTTGAACTTGTGCTCAGAATGTGTGGTGACATTGTGATCCACCCTGAGCTTGTACTGCTTTGCCTGCTCTGCTGATTTCACCCCACTTTGGCTATGGGGGTGTGTCAGAATATATTTGCTGTCTAGCCTGCAGTGGGGTACTCTGTAATGAGTACAACCCAATTTAGGGCAATGTACTTGTATCCCAACTCTTGCTAGTCACTTCACTTCCCTTCCAAATTTCTCGATACTCACCTAACCCACTCGAACTCACCTACCTCCTAGTGTGGGCCTAGGCTACTAAGCCTAGGCCCCACACCTACTTTTTCACATGGTATCAGAGCGAAGGTCTCGGGTTCGAATCCCGGTGTATGCACTTCGGGCATCCCAGTGCGGGGGGGTGTCAGAGGTCCACTGGTGATCCCCGATCGATCCTAGGGAAGGGTTACAGGCACATTTGCCTGGGGGGTTATGGGCGCACTGACCCGCTACTGAAACAAGCCCTTTTATCCCAATGGTCTAGTGGTTGGGATTCTGAGATCGCCTTGTTCTGTAATTAAAATTCGGTGTGTCAAATCGTGAGTACGTAACAACATATTTTATTATGGGAGATACATATCACCAACGCGATCGAAAACGCACAGTAAAAAAAAATATTACCCATTCGGAAGCGGATGCGCCTCGGGAGGCATCAACCCTAAATACCAGGAAGGTCCCCTTTTTTAGGGTTGATCCATCCCGAAACTGCATCCAGATTCTCTACGGGTTTTAGTTTTCTTTCTGCCCTAAGAGTTCCCAGCAGAGTCGGCTCGCTAAACGACACGCGAGCGAAAATGCGAGCCAGTGCATGCCACTAGTAACAGAATTACGTGCAACAAACGAGACCTCTCTGTTAATATCTTTTTGTGCAGCGGTTTGGTGATTTTCGGGCCTCTTGGCCCTTGGTTGATCACCCCTCTGGCACTGTTGGGCCCCTCCATGACCTTCAATGAAGCGGAAGATGGCTGCTTACTTTGAAAAGATGAGCAGCCATCTTCTGGCATTCCTTCACTCCGATTGGTCCATGTCTGACTTCATTGCACTGATCAGGTCTGGGTTGGGGCGAGGGGTTCGGAATGAATTGGGGTGTGTAGCTCGGCAATTAGTCTTGTCGCATGGGTGTCGCACGCGATTTTGGTGGTGCCGAACCACCCAACGTGGTCCCTCAACGGCCAACATGAATGCGTTTGAGCCTCCTAACGGCCAAGATGACCACTTTTTAGTGCTCCCGAAGTGCTACCGAACAGGGCCAATGAGATCTCCGCGACTCGGTTTTGGGGGTGTGAAATTATCGAGAAAAGGATGTATTACCCCGCATATAAGCGCACCTGCGCTTATAATAAAACAATGATTTTTTAGGGGGGTGCGCTTATAATTGAGTCAAATTATAACTGCATGTGCTTACACCGGTAATTGTTATTTAAAGGCACCAAATTGTGCATCTCAATACAGTATTCCATTTTCAATCAAATCGAAATGGGCGTCAGAATCGCGCGAGGGCGATTCTCTGCCGGCGCACAGGAGCAAGGACATGTCAAGCTTGCCCCGGCCCAGTGTATGAGCCAATCACATGCAATCGCTCGCTCGTACATGTTCAGCGCAGGTGCTCGATGTGGTTTGCTGATGTGACACGCTTGAAACGTTTCGCGCATGCACGCATACGGTTTTCATATCGTACAACATTTGTTGGTTGCTCAAGTCAGAAAACCGGGTTCTCGAGTTTGACCAAATTTGATACAAGCTACGTACCATAGATTGACAAGAGGGCGTAGGAAGGAACACGTGGCACACCCCTAGTTTCCTATAACCGTGCAATCCGCATTTGCCCATTTCAATCGCACACAACCAGAATGCTGTGCTTGTTCGCACAGTGGCCTTTCAGGCTCAAAGCAAGGTATGGTATGCTGACTTATGCAACTCTTGTCATCATGTTGGCACCAGGGCCTCGGAAGTCAGCGAAAAAAGGCTGATTTGGGTAAAAAAGGCTGAGATTTCAGACCTTATTTTAGAACTGTGGCTGGTTTTTCAGCATTTTTCTGTGAAAAATCAGGAAAATTTATGTGATTTGTAGTGTTAACTGGCATAAAATGGCAGATTTTTCTGATTTTTAGCATAATTTTTTGTACCAACTCTGATTGGTTCAGCCTAGCTCAAAACCAATCTGAGGCCCTGGTTGGCACACGAACAGGACCAGAGTGGAAATTTACAGCACATGTAACATTTCTTGAACACATACTCTAGCTCAACTATGTGGATAGCACCACGTAACATAACAGCATGCACCACACAACCGCAACGTCCTTGCTCGCTATGGCTCCTTATTCATCGCCATCATTTCTGCTGAAACCAGCCTCGCCTCTTCCCCGCTTCCTGCTGCTGCACCTTGCGCTGCCACGGCCACACAAGGCCCCTCCACAGGGGCGCCTGCAGCTGTTGCTGCTGCTGCGCCTTCTCCACCCCGCTAATGAGCTGCGATCGCCGCTCCATGCTGTCCCCTAAATCAGGCACGGCCCACAGCTTGCTGTGACTATAGTGGTGATGCCCCCCTGCACTGCCCATGCCGCCACTGCTGTTGCCACTGCTGCTGCTGGAGCCATAGGGCGAGCGGGGCGTGGCAACAGGGCTGCCGGGCTCGGGAATGAGGTCGCGGTCGTACGCTGTGTCGCTCAGGAGAGACGCCGGCACATGCACCCCACGCGCCATCCTGTTAGGCGCACTCGCGCGCTCCACACATGTTGCAATGCGATTGGCTAGTCGACTCACTGCCCACTGCCGGTGCCACGGAGCCATTTGCAGCACCTGATACAGGGGGAGAGAGTGGGGGGGGATGGATTACCAGTGGGGATGCAAGACGAAGGCTGAGAAGCAACAGCTGCAAACACGCAGTAGTTGCTCTCAAATGAGGCAATGGCTTTAAAAATGGCAAGCGAGCCATGAGCAGCAGCAATACTAGCAGCAGCAGCAGCAGCAGCAGCAATACTAGCAGCAGCAGCAGCAGCAACAGCAATACTAGCAGCAGCAGCAGCAGCAGCAGCAGCGGCAGCAATACTAGCAGCAGCAGCGGCAGCAATACTAGCAGCAGCAGCGGCAGCAATACTAGCAGCAGCAGCAGCAGCAGCAGCAGCAGCAGCAGCAGCAGCAGCAGCAGCAGCAGCAGCAGCAGCAGCAGCAGCAGCAGCAGCAGCAGCAGCAGCAGCAGCAGCAGCAGCAGCAGCAGCAGCAGCAGCAGCAGCAGCAGCAGCAGCAGCAGCAGCAGCAGCAGCAGCAGCAGCAGCAGCAGCAGCAGCAGCAGCAGCAGCAGCAGCAGCAGCAGCAGCAGCAGCAGCAGCAGCAGCGGCGGCAGCAATACTAGCAGCAGCAGCAGCAGCGGCAGCAATACCACCAGCAGCAGCAGCAGCAGCAGCAGCAGCAGCAGCAGCAGCAGCAGCAGCAGCAGCAGCAGCAGCAGCAGCAGCAGCAGCAGCAGCAGCAGCAGCAGCAGCAGCAGCAGCAGCAGCAGCAGCAGCAGCAGCAGCAGCAGCAGCAGCAGCAGCAGCAGCAGCAGCAGCAGCAGCAGCAGCAGCAGCAGCAGCAGCAGCAGCAGCAGCAGCAGCAGCAGCAGCAGCAGCAGCAGCAGCAGCAGCAGCAGCAGCAGCAGCAGCAGCAGCAGCAGCAGCAGCAGCAGCAGCAGCAGCAGCAGCAGCAGCAGCAGCAGCAGCAGCAGCAGCAGCAGCAGCAGCAGCAGCAGCAGCAGCAGCAGCAGCAGCAGCAGCAGCAGCAGCAGCAGCAGCAGCAGCAGCAGCAGCAGCAGCAGCGGCAGCAATACTAGCAGCAGCAGCAGCGGCAGCAATACTAGCAGCAGCAGCAGCAGCAGCAGCAGCAGCGGCGGCAGCAATACTAGCAGCAGCAGCAGCGGCAGCAATACTAGCAGCAGCAGCGGCAGCAATCCTAGCAGCAGCAGCAACAGCAGCAGCAGCAGCGGCAGCAATACTAGCAGCAGCAGCAACAGCAGCAGCAGCAGCGGCAGCAATACTAGCAGCAGAAGCGAACCTCATCAGAGTTGAAGCTTTCAACAATGGTGCCTCCCCGCCTGGGCACTGCCAGCTCCCGCCAGTCCATTGCAAAGTGCCCAAACTTACGCGCCAGCTCCTGCGCTCATAGAAAGGGCAATGTGGGGTGGGGGGCAAGGGGATGCAGGGCACGCGCATGAGCAGCACACATGACATTCGGGAGCAGTGACGGTGGTAAGCACAGGAGCAGTTGTGAAAGGAGGCGTGCGTGTGAGCGCAATGGAGGGAGAGTGTGGTGGGTGGGCGGGTAACCTTGTTGAGAGGCGTGTCCTTGTCACCTATGACGCCCAGCACAAAGCCCCGGTAGTCCGCATTGGAGCCCTGCCCGTGAATCTCTATCACCGGCACTCCCCTCATGGTCTGCTCGTGCACACATGTAGCGACAAAAAGAGGCCAGCCGCCCAAGAGAAATGGCAGAAAGGAAGGCCAATGACATGAGCAGGCATGTGTCAGTAAGTGTGAGAGAGCAAGACAGCCGTACAGCAAACACAGGGCGGCGACATTCAGCAGTGCTGTACAGTGCAGGCAGGAAATGAGGCAGAGCGGAGACGTGGGTACCTGCTTGGAGACCCAGTTGAGGTACTGCTCCCACTGCAGGTTGGGAGCGTCCCTGTCCGGGCGCAACACATCCCACCCCGTACTCCTCAACTGCCTCTCCAATGCATCTGCCACCTGCCAGTGCCACCATGCCACCATGCAATTATGAACCCATGCAACCATGCCACGATTAGGACAGTGCATGTGGGCGCCTGGAGATGCAACACACTAGAAAATGACTGCCTTCTCCCTAGAGCACCATGCACACATGCCACACACTGTATGCATGGCATAGCTCCTGCTCATTTTTTAAGAAAAAACATCAGAAGCCGGTTGCTTTAAACACTGAGCCCCAATGCTCATACTCAACCTCAATGAAGCGTGTCACATCTCACTATTAACATTTCCACACACACACCCAACCCAATCCCACGTTTCCACAAAAACTTCCCTGATCCCCCCACTCTCTCCCTGCACAATCACTCATTTCCTAGCCACTCCCCTCCCAATCAGCCCCAAAAGCCCACAACGCCAATCCACAGCAACCCCGCACTCCTCCTGCATCCCACCCGTTCGCCTCGCCCTCTTCCCACCTTCCCCCCACCCCCTTTTCCCCCCCTCTCCTCACCAGTCACAGCAGCGCCACCCACCCCCCACAGGCACGAACCTCGAGGTTGAATTCCCTTTCTCCCGGAGCGCCGGGCTCAAAGCCGGGGTCGATCCAGTGGCCCGGCACCACCGAGATGACGTCGCTGCGCCCTATGTGCTGCGCCGCCCGCATGTACCTCCTCGTTGATAGCGGCGGGTCGCGCGGGGCCTGGCAGCGAGAGCAAAGGGGGAGAGGGGAGTCAAGGGAGGGCGAGAAAGAAGGGGGGAGGAGGAGGGAATACAAGTGGAGGGGGAGAAAGAGGGGCAGCGGGAGGGGAGGAGGGGAGGGGAGGGGAGAGGGGGGGTGGGGAGAGGGAGAAAGAGGGGTGGGTTGGATAGTGAGGGTCGGCACTAGAAAGGAGGAGGAAGAGGGGTGAGGGAGCGGGATTGGGGAAGGGGTACAAAACGGTGTGGAAAGGGGAAATGGTGGGGAGTGTGTGTGCAAGGCGAGGGAATCCACAGCACACATACATGGAGCACAACAGCACAGCACCCCCTGGCAATCCCATGCACTCAGCACACAGCACCACACCGCATGTGGCGGACACTGCCGCCCTGCCATGTGCGTGCATCCATGGCTGCACGTACCCTGGTGCCAATGACTTGCGTGAGGCGCAGCGACTCAAGGCCAAACTTGCGCGGGAAGAGAGAGAAGAGCGGCGCCGCATGCGACGAGGAGATGCGGCACGGCAGCTCCATCAGCCCCGCCACCACCTGCTCTCCGTGGGTGGGGGAGAGGGGTTTAGCGAGGACAGGTGAGGGGAAGGCGGGGGGTAGAAGGGGGGAGAATACAGGAGAAGGGAAGGGGTAAATCGAGGAATGAGAGAGCTGCCGGTGAGGATGGTGTGAGGGTGAGAGAGCAAGAATGGCGGTGCAATTACAATGCAAAGGGAGGGCTTGGTGAAATGAAGGAGTGGGTGAGCGGCTGACCCCTCTGCAGTCGCGTGAGATCTTAAAGCCCTTGGTGTACTTGAGCGTTATAGAGTCGTCCTGCTGCTCCTCCCGTTGCACTCGCACCTGCACCCATGCAATGCCGGATCACGGGAGCGGGGAGTGCGGAGAGGTGAGAGGTGACAAGTGAGAGGCTGGGGAGAGGGAGAGGCGAGAGGATGGGGAGAGGAAAGTAGGGAAGGCGCGGGGGAGAGGACAGAGATATATCACAAGTAAGCCGCATATGTGGAACAGGCGCCAGAAGAAAGCAGAGCAGAAAGTGGAGGGAGGCAAGGTGATGGGGCTGGTGATGTGGTGGTGTGCACCCAGAGAGTGTGCTTGCTCTCACCGAGTCAGCCGGTCGCCAGTCCAGCTGCAGGGTCCATGAGGGCAGGCGCATGCGCCACGCATCGCCCTCCGCCTGATGCCCCACACACAGGCCAGCACACAGGCAGGCCCACAGGCAAGCACATAGGCAGGCACACAGGCAGGCAGGCACGCAGGCACGCACGTGCGCACACACATGGCACAACGGGCAGATAAGACACGTGTATGGCTCAGGGCAAACAGCAAGTCACGGCAGAGCGTGGCAGGGCCGGGACAAGTGCTAAGCAGCAAACAGCGAGCAGGTGATGAGCAGGCGACAAGGGCACGGGAGAGCACCTGCAGCTTGGCGCGCAGGGAGAGCTTGGCGGTGCCGACATTGAAGGAGCGCTTGATGCAGAGCGCTGGGCGCGGCAGCACGTCCAGCGACGGCTTCAGTGCTGCTCCATGGCGGGCGCGCGCACGCACACACACACACACACACACACACACACACACACACACACACACACACACACACACACACACAACACACACACATATGGGACCATGGTGCGCAGGGGTGGGGGGAATGAGGAATAAGGAACGAGGAATAACGAAAAAGGACGATGGAAGAAAGAAGCTCAACGTTATGAGTGCTAATAACAAAGCGATCTGGGAGCTCAGGGACAGCAGAGGAGAGGAAACCCGGGCAGCATGTGATGCACATCCGTGCCTAGCCGTGCCCGCGCCCTGTACATCCACCATAGCTCACCTATCTTGCCCAGCAGCGGCGTGAGAACTTGCAGGCGCACATGCGGCTTCACAGACGCCGACCACACAGTGCAAAGGCGACTCTCCGCGCTCGCGCGCGCGCCCACTGCTCCCAGCACTTCCCCCTTCTCCCCCGAGCTTGCCGCGCCAGTGTTGCTGCCAGCGGCAGCGGCGGTGGCGGTGGCGGGGAGGGCGGAGGCGGTGAGCTTGAAGCCCGCGAGCAGCGCCACGGGGATGTGCTGCCACCGCCACCTGCCGTCGTCGCCTGCGCGGGGGGGAACGGTGCGGCGGGGTCAAGTGGCGGAGGCCGCGGAACAAACACGGCGCAGCGGGGGTCGGGGTGGGGCGCACGGGGCATGAGGGGGACAGCGCGTGGAGGGCGGGGGTGGGAACCGCCCCGTGGTGACGGAAGCCGGCGGGCGGGCAAACGAGCGAGTAGGCGGGGGAAATAACGGTTGAGGAGAGGGGGGAGGCAGCGGGGGGCGTACCGAGGCCGAGGCATTGCGGCAGTGCGACGGCGCGGTAGGCGGCGAGGCGAATATGCCTCTTGGGTCGCGCGCCCGCCTCGTTCTTCAGCCGCACCCCCACCATCCAGCGGTAGTCCTGCCCGCACACCGCACAGGCGCGTTAACATGGGGGAAGGAACGGGGGCGAAGGGGGACCGGGGGAGAGAAGTGGGGGGGAAGGGATGCGGAGAGAGTGAGGGGAGAGCGGAAAGATCGGAAGAATGGCGAGGACGGGTGAGAGGAGGGGAGGGAGGGAGAGGAAGGCGGGAATGAGCGGAGACAAGCAGTTCCACGGCCGATCGCGAGGGAGGTCAGGCTATTGCGAGGGCGGTCGGTCGATCGCGCCCGCAGAGGCAAGTGTGGGTGCGACGACGTCGCCCGAAGATAGCACTCGCACGGCGCTCACTTGACGATCAAGGCGGCACACAGCAACGTGCGTGGCGACTGCGGGACGAGGTCCGCGCAGCGGATGGTTAAACAAGCGGGGCGCGGCGCGCAACGAGAGGGCTGGAGGCACACGCACCCGGCCTGGGGCCTTCTCGCCGCGCATGAGCGGCACTTCATAGTAGGTGGGCAAGCGATAGGTGTCGTGCGGCGACTGGAAGCACCGCGTGCCCAGACAGTGCAGCTGCTCCTCCTCCTCCATCGCCCCCCGCCGCTCGCCCAATCCTTCCCGCCTACTCGCCTAACGCGTAACGTCTAGCGCCTAACACCTATCGCCAATCGTTTATCGCCGATCGCCACTTGCCAATTGCCGATAACGTCGACAGAATCCGAGCGCCTACCGACTATCGCCTGCAGATGCGATCGAGGAACGTGACTGTAAGGACCCGAGGACAGCAGGTAACGCAGGGACTTGCTCGCACTGCAGGCACAACGCGGAGTTGCTATTATAGTGACTGGGGTTGAAATTTCTAAATAGGTGGAAGGGGAGATGAGGAGGAGGGGGCAAGGGAAGTGGCAGAGGAGAACCTCACTGTTTGATGCTTGGGAAGATGACGGTGCCGAAGTACGAACTTCAAGCAAACATTGGGTGAGGGAGGGTGATGGTGGATGGGAGGACTGAGCGAGAGGTGGTGGAAACTGTCAGCAGCAGCACCATGAGCTGTGGGCGGCACGCGAGGAAAGGTGCGGTTCTACTAACGAGTTGTTCCACATGTGTACTGTACAAGCTTTCAAGAGCCAACGGTCATCTTGACAAGGGTCCTCTACACCAATGGAAGCGTCGTCATCCTCCCTTCGGAACGATTCGAAATGCTATCGGATGCCACGCAACAAAGTTGTTAACTTCTGTAAGAAAACACCCTTTCCTTCGCATCTCTAAGGATTTTTGGGTTGCTTAGCAACCTTATACATTTGGTTTCACTTTTCGGGGATCTGACGTGAACAGTGATTCCCCCCATCAATTTTGGGGAAGAAACACTGTTCACATAAGTTCCACAAAATGTGAAACCAAATGTAACCAATTATTCCAATGTCGTCAATAAATACGGCGAATGGAACAATTGGACCAAAACTAGAGCACAAATGACAACACACAAAGACACACAAACATGCGCTAACGTGTACAAAAACCACAATTGGAATTTAGTATTTGTCTGGTTTTTGTCTGGTTTTTGTACAATACTAAATGCATCAATGCTGCAACTGGGATTGATATGGTACGGAAGAGGCGAGCTGAGTTGCCCCACCGACGATGACAACCCGAGTTGCATATACGAGGCACTTAGCATCACACCCCGACGCATACACAAACATATGACACACGAAATTGTACAAAAACGAGGAACATTTGTGAATGCTTCGAAGCTAATGCTAGAATGCATCGCTAATGCAACTGGGATTGATCTGGTAAGGAAGAGGCAAGCAAAGCTGCCCCACCAACGATCACAACCCGAGTTGCATACACGAGGCACTTAGCACCTCACCCCAAAACGGACACAAACAACACTGCATACACGTATGCACACACACATACAGGCTCACACAAATACGTACACACATACATACAAACGCAGAAACATACAGCTAATAAACATGCAAGCATAACTAATGAAGTTCAACCATGTATAGTTAATCTCTAGCTTGTTCCCAGTCCCCCTCCCTCCCCTCCCTCCCTTCTTCCCTCCCTCCCTCCCTGACCCCCCTCCCTTTCCTCCACAAGAAACAAAGAATGCGGCTTTAACTCCCTGCACAAGAAAGAAAAAACAGCAAATGCAACTCACACTCCCAGCACAAACAATAACAAAGCAGAGAGTACAACTTGCATGTGCTACACAAGAAAACAGAATCATATAATGCAGCTCACATGATGCACCAAAAACTGATGTTTAGTGCAATACATAAACTGAATATGAGTGGTGAAAACAATCACACTTGACATGTTACAAAGGTGACTTGATATTAGAAATTGTGGCGTCAAACATCCATGCTAGAATGCATGCAGTACCCTGTAGCCGGCCTTGTATTCACCCTCACATTCTCCTTTACACTCATGCTCGCACTCACTCTCGCACTCACTTTCCCACCCACTCACGCACACAAAATTGCTCTCAGATTTTATTAGACACACTCACAGAAACACACACTCAAACCCTAGCCTCACCCTTGCACTCATGCTCACGCTCACGCTCGCACCTACACAGAAAATCACACATGCACACGCACACATAACCTCACGCACCCTCGCACGCACCCTCACTCACCCTCGCAATCACCCTCACACTTACCCTCGCACTTCTCACACTCACTTTCGCACTCACCATCACGCTATCTTTCGCACTCATGCAATCATACTTGTGCTCACCACTCGCACTCATTATTGCACTCACACCCGAACCCTTGCACTCAACCTCGCACACACACACACACACAAACAAACACACACACACGCACACACACTCACACTCACCCTTGCATGCACACCCGCACTCACTCTCGCTCACACTCGCAGTCACCCTCACACTCACAATCGTATTTCTCTCACACTCACCCTTGCAATCACTCTCGCACTCACGCTCGCACTTGCTCTCGCATTGAACGCATGCGCGCACCCTCGCACACACCCTCAAGCACATACGCGCACTCAATCTTGCACCGCGCCCGCTCTTGCACCACAGGAATCGAACCCGCAATCACCCTGTTGCACTTGCACACGCTCGCAGTCACTCACGAACACTTGAAAGATTTCAACCGCTCTTAGACACACTCAAAGAAAGACGCACAAACCCTCGCACTCACCTTCGGATACGGTTCATGCTCACACGAACACCCACACACGCACACACAGTCGTGCGCATCCTCGAACTGAACTCGTGTTAGAATAGTAGCGAGAGTTAGGCGCCATAGCTAGGAGAACCCTAGCTAGGCAAGAAAGTTTAGGCAAAAGAGGAGGTTCACTAGAAAGCAGCAGGATACATATAGGGAACCCTAAGGGGTTGTACTCGCTATAGAGTACCCCACTGCAGGCTAGAGAATAATAACATTCTGACAACTCGTGTTGAGATAGTAGCGAGTAATGTTGAACTATGAAATGAAAATGAGTACAAGTACCAACCCTAATTGGGTTGTACCCCCTATTGGCTACCCCACTATAGCCTACAAACATGCATCAGCTACAATAATCTGACACACCCCCATAGGCAAAGTGGGGGAGAACAAGGGGTCACAAGACCAGTCAAAGCAAAGCAAAGCAAAGCAAGCTCAGGGTGGATCTCAAGGATACCACACAAATTACGAGCACAAGTTCAAGGCCACAAGGCCAGCTCACATGCAGCAGGGCATATATATAACAGTGCTAAACAAGCAAGAGCATGTATATATATATGCAGTAGTACAGACAAGGTCAAGAGGTAAGCAAGTGAGGCCCAGTGGGCACAAGACCTAGCAAAGTGCAAAAGCGCTGATGGTCACAAGGCGGAAGTGCCTTGGTGAACACATCAGCAGTGTTGGCCTCAGTGGCCACGTGACGCAGACGAAGCTGACCGCGCTGCTGCAGCTCTCGAGCAAGGAAGTAGCGCAGAGCAATGTGCTTCGTCCTGTGCTCCAGTCTGTGCTCCTCACACAAGGCAATGGCTGCCTTGTTGTCGACGTACAGCACTGGAGGAGAACGAGGCCGCTCTCCAAGGTCAGTCAGCAGGTAGGTGAGCCAGCGAAGCTCCTGGGCAGCCATGGTCGTGGCGTAGATCTCAGCCTCACAACTGGAGCTGAGAACAGAAGAAGAGCGAGTAGAGCGCCAAGAGACAGAGCCAGAGCCAAGACTGAAGGTGTAACCCTGAGACGACCGCTGAGTAGCCTTGTCGTTAGCCCAAGAAGCGTCTGAGTGCCCAGTGAGAACAGGCCGGTCTCGCCCTCCAAGCACTAGCCCCATGCCCGACGAACTGCACAAGTAGCGCAACACCCTCTTAGCTGCATCCATGTGCTCCTTACGGTGACGGCCGGGAGCAACATAGCGTGCTAAGATGCTGAGAGGGTATGCGAAGTCAGGTCGAGTGCAGGTCATCAGGTACATGAGGCAGCCCACAAGCACTAGATACGGGCCACTCGACTCTACGGACTCATCCGAAGGCAGAGCTGAGAGCGAGTGTCCCGTAGGCAGAGGAGTGGACTGAGGCGAGGAGTACGTGAAGCCGAAGCGCTGAAGGACCTGCTGCACCATGTGTGACTGAGTCAAGGTAATGGTGCGGCGTGCTCTGTCCCGGGTGATCCGCAAGCCAAGATAGCTTGTCAGTTCACGCAGGTCTGTGCACGTGTGTCTCTTCTGCAGCTCGGACTTCACGTAGGCGAGTGCGGCAGTGTCCGCAGTGGCAAAGACCAAGTCGTCGACGTACACGAGGATGTAGAACGGCGGCAGCGAGGTGTTGGTGCGTAGAAACAGCGACGGGTCAGCAGTAGATGGAGCGAACCCAAGAGCCGCAAGTGTAGTCCTCAGTGTGTCGTGCCACTCACGTGGCGCCTGGCGGAGACCGTAGACTGGCCGCCGGAGGCTCCACTCGGTACTAGGAGGGAACGACCCAGTGAAGCCAGGAGGGCGGCGCAGCCAGATCTCCTCGTGCAGGCGACCCTGCAGGAAAGCAGTACTGAAGTCAAGGGAGTGTAGCTCGTAGTCACGCTGAGCAGCGACGTGCAGTAGAACCTGAAGAGTGGTCATCTTCGGGGCTCCTGCCTGTCCTCAAGGACGTCCGTGCCAAGAGCACAGTCACCCCCGACGGACGGAGGAGAGGCAGACGCAGACTCAGCAGACTCAGACTCAGCAACAAGACTGGCAGCGTAGTCTAGACGACACGCGGCAGCAAAGTCGACCAGCTCAGCAAGAAGGGAAGACGCAGCAGCGGACTCAAAGGAAGGGTCAGTGACAATAGTAGCAAGGAGACGCGTGACAGTAGGACTGGTAGCACGACGAGAGTCCGACTCCGGGTCGGCAAGAGCAGGAAGGGAAGACTGAGGAGGAGAAGGCAAAGGGGCACGCAGAGGAGCAGTGGACGGACGCAGAGACATCCTATGCGTGCCAGGGACACGAGGAGGACGCTGACGCGAACCGCGACCACTAGGGCGAGCAGCACGGACTGGCGACGCAGGGCGGGACGCAGGCTCACGACGCTCAGCAAGACCTCCAGTAGGACCAGCGTAGGGAGACGGAGAAGGCAG